AAAAAGAGAGACAACTTGAAGTTTTCATTAATTCTGATAATGTAGTTGTACTAGTAGAAGAAATAGATGCAAATGAGCTGTCTGAATTTGTTGATATTCCAGGATTCGGATGAACATCACCGGCAATTAACAATAGTATAAGTAGAAAAAATATACTTACTACCTTATAAAAGGATATTTTGATATGTGGTAGGGTGAAATATGCTGTGAAAGTTTGATCCATGAACACGAAGGAAGAGTAAGCACGATCGTATAGGGGAGTTTGTAAATATCTATGAAACTGTTGACAATGATAGCAAGAACATGTAAAACACGATCATGCATACATATACAAAAGTGAAAAAAGTAACATAAATGCCATGTAAACCAATCCGAATGTTACAAAAAGAAGCTATTAGAAAATAAGATGAGTATAGATGATGTTGATTTATAAGTTTACAGAAAAAGAAAACAAAAAAAGATATGTACAAAGTGCATACTGACATGAAACAGATATGCGTAAGTAGATATATGGTATGAACTAGGCTTACAAAAATGTTCAGTTTCAATTTGAGATGAAAATAATTATTCAATTATTGAGAAAAAAGAACAAAAATACAATACGTTCAGAGAATGAACTTCGCGATCTTTTCTCAGGTAAGAAAAAATTAGATATTGCGTGCCAAAATAATTCATTAAGAGAATTCAAAAGTACACTGTGTTACTTCTCCGTAAAAAAAACAATTGACACTGTATGTACCGAAATACTTCAAGTTAAGATAATATACAATGTGAAAACAACATGCATGTATATCAATACAGTTCTAGTTACATAATAATTTTCATTTTACAAATAAAGCATTTCTCAATATAATACAACATCTTGTATATCAATATATTAAGAAACTAAAGAAAGGGGAATAATCCATACTATAAATTTTTTGACATGTTACAGTGTTACCTTATTTTACATTGTATTGAATTAAAAAAATCCTAAAGATCTCATATCGGATTTAGCAAAAAAAAAATAATGCTAAAAAATACTGATCTTACTATAGAAATTGATTTTATAAAACAGAATTACTTGTTTCTTGCCTCAATATACATGTATATAAATTCCGGCATAATGTACCAGAGTAACTGAAGTTTATGATAACACTTGAAGTCTATAACGCGCTTTTATTTATTGAGTAAAATTATGAATTAATTCTGTCAAGCGCGTTACTATGAAATTGATTTTATATATACTTTATATATTAAAACAAAAAACAAAATCCCCATTAGATACAACTATTACGTAAATTCATCTTTTATTAAAACATTTCAGCAATATTATTACCGGATATGCTCTATTGGTATGTCTATACAATATCGCTAAAGTCAGTGTTTACCAATATGCACTATTGAATTTATAGTCTATAAATAGCAGAGAGCGAGTATGTATACTTCCCGAAAAAGATATCGCTACAATCACTTCAATCAATGTTTACGTGTTGTCAATATTTTCGTTTAATTGGCTCTTCACTTTTAACAGCCATTAGTTCAGCTTCAGTGGCTATTCTATGTACGCTGAGGTTAGAGTCTTTCACCATAACAGTGCCATCATAGGTCCAAGCGCCAGTAATAAATCGATCTTTCAAAAGTTGACGGGCTCTAAAGAAAAGGGACGCACGCAATTTTTGTTAAGTCCTCATTTACAAAGACACCTTTGTAGCCACGGTTTTTAAGTTCTACCCTTGATTTATAGAGCATGTTTCTTGCTCTGTAAGTTGAAAACTTGACGATAATATCCCTGGGCTTACCCGCCTTTGGTTTGCCAACACGATGAGATCGGTCGATATCTGAACTTGTTAGGTGGACATTTAGTGCTTCCGCTATTTGCTCGATTTTTCCGTCAGTAGGTTCAGGGTTAACTGTAGGAGACTTTACAGAAGTCTGGTCAGTTGTAAGGATAATTTCGTCACCATTTTCAGGAACACCAGATATGCGGAGACAATTTCGTCGACTGTACTGTTCAGCCGTGTCAGCATCACGTTCAAGTTTAGTAACACGTGCACGCAATTCTTCATTCTCGTGTTCAAGATGCTGTATTTTTTTGTTAAGACCTGTAAGAACTCCATCAACAATAGCCTGAACTTGGACATCTACGCTTAACAGTTCTGGTCTAAATGTATCTTTCAGAACGTCAGCGATAGCAGCAATGTCCTCTTTTGACAGGACAATATGAGTTTCAGACGATTTAGGTTTTTTAATGTCGGTACAATCTATAGGTGAGGAAAGTTCCCGTTTTTTGCCTTCTGATATAGGTGTTGAGCATTTAGCGCCTTCAGATTTACTCATGATTAATACGGTATGATTACGGTAACAAACTTTTTCCGCTCAGTATAGATTTGAAATTGAGCGCGTGGGAGTTTCTATAAATAGTACAGTGCACGAAAATCACAGGTAAAAAATAAAATTTCATAACTTCATTACTTCATAACTACGTTTCTTTAGCCCATTTCAGTCTCCAAGCACTAGTATACCATATTTTCAACTTTTTGAACATAGTATTCATGTATATGGAGATAAAAAAAACATTGTCATTCCATTTTCGGAAAATTAAAATAAAAACAAAACAGGAAATTTTAAATTGGTGCTGCAGTGTAAAGCTGATGAATGTGAATGTTTTATATAATTTTGGTTTCGTTGACGACTTGCAAAGTCAATCGTATCATTCCGCAGTAGGTCATGCGTCTTTTTCAAAATCCTAATAGACTAACATAGACTCGGCTGCTTTGATGTCGAATAAACCATGAATGATACCTTCTCAGATCTTTGACCTTTTCATCAGACCTGTGACCTTATGACATCAAACATCAAAATAGGTCATCTACTTGCCATGGGCAATGTCTCTATCAAATAGAATAAGCCAGGGCTTATTCGTTCTCAAGTTATTGTATGGACAAGGTTAACAGGCCGTTAGAACTACATACAGGTCAATCCTATCACAGGATTGTGCCCACACAAAGGGCCAATACTAATTCAAAATTAATGTCTGATTTACGGGTTTTGAATAGTTGCAAGTTCTTTTCTAAATTAAAAAAACCCTCAAAACAAAGTGTAATCTGATAAGTTAATTATGTCGTGCATACCATATCCTTATTCTTTCCTACGACTGAATTATCTCGTGCTCACGACTTAATAACTCGTGTCCATGACATAGTATCTCGTGCGCAAGAGACAAATTAAAACACAAACAGACACACATGTTACCTTTGTGCCACAAAATGTAAGCGTTACACATGTATGAGAAAGCAGTCATCAAAGTCCTCTTAAAGAGCACCAAACATTCTTTTCTAACAAAGAACATCAAATATATTAATTCTTGAACTTGTTGAAAAAAAGCTTAATGCTGAAATTGTAGACAGTTTCCATCGTTATATTTATAATAGAAGAAAAGATAATGGTGTAAAACTATTTATACAAAAGGTATTTTCCTAATCATTTACACTTGCTTTCTTCAAATTAATTATTTGATATCAACGTTCCCGTTTACTTCAATAAGCATATAAGGCCATAAACTCAAATAATCGCCTTATAACAATATTATCTTATGTCAGTCAGTATTGTTCCCCTTTTAAAATATTGTAAAAGATCGCTTGTAATAACAAACCTTTAAAAAATAATAGTTTATGATTTTTTTTTTTAAATTTGCAAATAAAAAAATTATATATATCTGGATTAAAACAAAATATTTGGTTTCTTGCTGTTGTTGTTATTAAGTACCGTATATCTTATTTTTTTTGCACATACCTGGCCAGTTTATCTGTGGATATGTTGTTTTTTTGCCGATTCTTATTTTTTTTTTCATGACTTTCAGAGGTAAACCTCCTAGTGGAACAGTTTTCTTTGTTATTGACAGTAACAGGTTTTTCATATGAACGCACTGTGCTATATAAGAGTAATTTGTTAAACATCTACGATCTTTTCTCTTTTAGGCTGTGCATTCACAATAGTTAAAACAGGTTTCAATTTGAAATGTTCACACACCTGACACGATTTATAATGAACATGACAAAGTAGAAAATGAAAATAAAATCATTTGACCAGGAATTTGTACCGAATATTGTGCTTGTATATTCAGTACTCAGCAGTTTTAATTTTGAACTAGTTTGTAAGCTTTCAAAACCATGGTGGTCAAAATGGCAACCAATATACGATCATGCTTCTTGATATTAAACAAATAACCTGTTTAAATGATTTCACACTGAAGATAAAAATAACATGCTTATTATTGAAGCTATTAATGGTGCCTCAAAGCATTATGTTTAGATTTAAATCCGTTAAATTATTGCATGTTAACTTGATTTACCCTTCAAGATTTCTGTTTTCCATAATCACATTTGGTTTCATTTTGAATTTGGCTGCCATTATTTTAAGGTAGTAAAAAACAGCATAGTTATCAATGCGTATCATAATTATTATTTATTATTTATTATGTACATATTGCCTAGTGTTCTGGACAATGCCATGTAGTATGTGAGGTTTGTGTATGTCTTAGTACGCTTACCCTTCGCTTCACCTATTGTTTGTTTTTATAGCAAAATTAAACTTTGAAAATGCTATTTTACCATCATTTATCGACTATACAAATTAAATAACCCCAAAGTGTTGAAAACGAATGTCTTATTGTTCACAAAACTGATCACTTACACATATAGCAATTTTAATACTCCACAATGTGAACATAAAACATGTGTAATACAATGAGTACATGTAGTAATAGATATATAAATATATATAAATGTAAATCTAAGTAACTAAGGTAGGTCAACCTTTTTTCGTAATTTGCATCATCTTAATTAGGTGTGGACAATGGATAAAAAATATGGTGTTCGCTTTATTGAATAATAAAGTTTCAAATTGAGTTAAAACCAAGTCGAGCTGCAATGAAGTCGCCGATACATTCAGGCAAATTCCACATGATCCGAATCCAAAGTGTGTCTGTGCCTACGAAATATCTAAAACAAGAAAAAATAATTTTTATTGATATTTTTGTTTCTGTGCACATCTGTTGGATAATAATTACATTGCGGTATTCGAATATATATAGGTAATACTGAATCCTTAGATCATCCATATTTAAAAAATTATAAAATACATGAACGTTGATTTCTATTTGTTAGATTACTTTATTGTATATTGTTAAAAATCGTTTCTTACGATTCATTCCATCAGCAATTATACATGATATACACTATGTTTATGTTATATGCCATTAAGTATTGAATATAGTTTTTTGTTTCATTATCTACCGGGGAGGGCCGACCGCTTATGTTGTAAGAACTTGGGCCCAACCCGTTTGCTTTTGCTGTTTAAAATACATATGAATTTTGTATCTGTATTGTATATACATGTATATAGCAATAAAATATGATTAAACGAATATATATATTATATATGGTATTGTAGAACTACAACAGTAAAAGGCGGAAACATGGAGGAGTATATCACGACAAAATTGGAAAATGCTGCCGGTGGTTACTCATGCGACACTCATCATTACTTCCTTTTCGTACGTAACATTCTTTCAATCTTTATTCGTAAACTAAATGTTCTAACATAAATGAAATGTTTTTGTAATTAAGATTTTCGAAGATGGTCGAATACTTTCCTCCCACTCTCAAGGAAGCATTGAAGTGACGGCATGGCCGAGTGGTTAACGCATTCAACTTGTAATCTAAGGATCGCTAGCCGCGTGTTTTCGAATCCCCTCAGGGACAAACCGATGTTTCCTTGAGTAATAAACATTACCCACATTGCTCAGTATTGGTTGGTCCCGGTAACGGAAACGAGAATATGTCTAAAAGCTTATGGCTTGCCTCCTACACACTCGAACTAAAATAAATTCTGTATAAACTATTGAAACAGCTATCTGTAAAGGCACTAATTATATCATATTTTCATATCATAAATGCTTCAAATCAACCAATTGACTAACAGGCAACTAAATCGTTCGTTAATGTCCGGCAAAAACATAGATTTCGGAATCAGTAATTTACATCTTTTTAGGGAATTTCGACGTAACAGAATGTATGTAGGCGTCTATAACAGGTTGAATATTCGGCGATGCTAATTCCATCAACGACCGAAGAACCCCGTCAATTTTTAAAAAGAAAACAATGATCAATATTTATCTTTCAATTTTATTATTTTTAAATAAAAGTAATCAACACAATATGATTTTACAATGTTATATGACTGTAAGTTATGACCCTGTTCATAGACTTCGCACTACTTATAATGTTTTTTTAAAAAAAACAATTCAACTGAAATCAATTATATTCGCTAGTTAAGAATCAATTATTTTCGTTAAGCAAAGAATGAATATTCCCAGAGTAATAAAAAGTTATCTTTAAATGTACATTTGATGTTTTATTTATAATTATTACCTAATACTAAATCCTTATTTACAGCTGATGAAATTCTATGCATGCGCAATGATGAAATAAACTGACGACCGGTCAATATTATATAAATAACACATGGCTGGCGGCGTGATATAGGCAATTGTCAACCCGAGAACTGGTATATTACCCCGAGGCGCAGCCGAGTGGTGATATGCCAGTTCAAAGGTTGGCAATATCCTCTATCACCCTGACAGCCATGTGTTATTCATTTTATTCTACCGAAAGACCTACAAGTACAATATTAATAAAGAACGCAGTCAAGCAAATAAATAGAAAACACATCATCATTTTACCCCAAACAATAAACTTAACAATAACAGTTCAAGAATTATTTTATACATTTCTACATGAAGTTAAGACACAATATACATATATTATTATTTCAATATCAAATAACAACTATGAAATGAAGTTATTAAGCTTTGTGGACAATAATTTCTATCATAGTCAACTTGCTGAATTTAGAGTTATACAAGAGTTATGTGCCCAAAGGTGATATAAGAAATATATTCCCCGGGGAATATATCCTAGGAGGGTGATATTCAATCAGAACACTTAATAAGCCTATGGGCGTTTTACATTGAAGGATATATTGAGGTATGATAATCTTAACTGTAACACCCCTGTTGACGGCATTGGGTATTTTTGTAAATGCCGCCCGCAACTATTCGGACTTCGGACGTCGCTCAGTGCAATGTACGGTATGGATTCAGTTGTAAAAAATTAATACAGTTGTAAACATGTTAAAGTATGTTGTAACAATATATATAGAGGATATTTGTTTCTTTGTGTGTAAGGTGAAATTTTATTTCATCGAGAGTGCTTTAAAAACAATATTCTCACCAGTGGCGTAGCCACGAGTGTGCTTTTCCCTAAAGAGTTCCGAGAATGTCAGTATTGTCAGCGAAATTAAAATTGAGGTACCACACGCGGAAAATCTTTTAAAAGTAAAGTAGTCTCGTCATTGAAAAATGTGAAATTATATTTTGATAATTTTCACTGTGAAATTATCGAATATATTTTCCACTTAAAGCTTAAAATATGTAGTTTAATTATTAGGTAATAAAACAGTTATTTCAGGGTGTTTGTGGAGCAGTAAATTGTTGTCCCTCGGTATCAGGAATGACATTTGGAACTGTTGCCCTCATCATTGATAACTCGAAGCAACAGTTTTGACTATTCCACAAGCACCCATGAAATAACTGTATAATACAATTTTATTCGTTTAGCGAATTTTATTAAGTAACTTTACTGATTTTATATTCATTTGACAGTCATTTTTCTGATTTTATTCAACAACAATAACAAAAGCATAACAAAAACAGCTTTTATAATCATTTAAAACCTTGCCACTAAGAAAAGCAAACACTTTCAATATCAATACATGCAAACAGGCTCAAGTTTATATAATTAAATATAAGTATTTTTTTTTATAGAATTCAGCGTTCCATGATATCCTTTCCATGTTGCTATTTGTTTTAGTAACATGATATTTCAATTTGCATTTTGAACTTCTATGAAACATCTTCTTATGCTTAAACATAATGATTTGATTGAAATTTGTATAATTGAAAAAAAAGTAAATTATATCAAAACAAGGAGAATAAGAAAGCACATTTTGTTTTTAGAAAATATTTGTTAAACCATACGCTTTTCAAGAGCGTCGTTTGGAAGTTGTGCCCTGACCTCAGCTTACAAACTCGCCACTTTCTCTTCTGCCAAGCGACGGAGATTTCCTCGGCCCCGCCCCAAATTGTAGTTTTGAAAACTCCTGGCTCTATGATTTGTACATTTACACCCTTTCTATACATTTCCCTCCTTAAACAAGGCCAAATGTGAATATAATACAAGCACAATATTGTTTAAGTATACATGTCCATATAAATAAATCTAAAGGGCAAGGTTCACTAACGGGGTATCTCAGCTCCGTAATTGTAATTTACAAATGCTAAACCATAAAGTTTTACAATATCATATTTCAAGTCACAATTTTGTCATTTGTGCATGAAAAATAAATTGCACGGCCGGTATGCATTTAGAATTAATGCAAACAAAGCGTTAAGACGCGCCAAATGTTAGCGTTACACCATGATCTCATCAATGAATTTGTTTATATTCTATTTCAATGGAAACAATTCTTATTTTATGTATGTGATAAATAGAAAGATGATTATGTGTGTGTAGCTTCATTACTTAAGTTATTGAACTCGTTGAGTAAAATAATATCATGCTCCCCGGAGTCTCGTTCTATAAATTCAGTATTGACTCTACACTCATTCACTATTTTCAAATAACTGTTGAACTCAAAATATTTTAAATATATGTGATTTCAATCATACTTTGACTGATTTAACCAGTTGGTACATCGGGGCAATTTGACCGGATTCTATGGTTTTGACGTTCCAAAAAGGGCAATGTGTAGTCCTAAAAAGGAACCTTTTACTAGTCTAAGGTTTCAAAGTAAATAAAATGAACTAGTTAAGCACCTGAGAACATCTGAAAATGCCTCCACGCCATATTTTGAAATGCTATATGACGAACTTAAGGCGGCAACTCTTCCCATAACACTTGATGTATTAACAAAACGTCCCTTTTCCATGATAACTAATTGGAGAAATGCTTTAGTTACCATTATAACTCCAAGCAAATTCACAGCTAATGTGTCATCATAGTCTTTTCTTGAATGCAGGTTGATCGATCCAATTCCACCAGATATACCAGCATTATTTACAACTGCCCACAATCCTTGCAATATAAATCAACCAATTAAGTCTACCTAATTAAAACAAATATAATGTTAAATTTAAAGAAAAATAATATTTTTATAAACTAAGACCATTTTTTCATCATCAGCCTTTAACAAGTAACATATTGGTAAATCATAACCAAACATGTCAACTTCAATAATCATAAACATGTTTATGAATACATCGACACTAGAATTTCTCTTTTTTTACTTACCTTTCCCTTGTGGTAATGCCCTTTTTACTATTTCCATTGCCTTCTCAATACTAGCATCTTTAGTGACGTCCATCTCTATCGCTTTCTGTTTTGAAGAGCCTGTTTCATCGAATTTTTCTACAGCAGATTTTGTGAGACAACAAGCAAACACATTAAATCCTAATGCTTCCAGCTGTTTTGCTAATTCGTTACCAAATCCCGAGTCACAGCCAGTGATTAAAACATATCGTGATTTATAGTTACCGATCTTAAATTGTCTAATAACCCATTCAAAAACAAGTAAAATAACTATTAAGCATCCACATATTATCCAAAACGCCATTTTATATCAATGTGTACACGCTTCAACCACTTTAAATATGTTTTCAAACAATATTTGTTAAAGATTACTCAACCGCTACGCTATCATGCGATAGCTCAATGTATAATACGGTAATTTATAAACATTAAGTTTTGGTTTATAATAACACGCATCCAAAATATTTTGCGACTTTTAAAACATTGGTTTTATTATATAAATCTTTCATTTACTCAAATTCGAGCTTGGCTAAAATAAGACATCCATCTAGAAACTGAGCAGTATAATCTGTCAATAGGTCTGAAAATTACACATTTCACAAAAATATTATAATAGTTTTATTCCAAGAGTATGAGTTGTTTTTTTCAATACTTTCGGAACTATGCATCGTCGTCAATATTTACACGAAGTGAAATGTATAAACCTATTTCACACTGCTATAATTCTATCAGATTACAACATTGTTCTCTGAAACATAATGCACTTGTAGATGAAATGCTGATTATGTTTTAAAATGGTTTGAAATTGATACTTCATTTTTTTCTAAATTGGTTGAAAACGTATTAATGCTCAAACAACCCTCGAACTCAATCTCGTTAAATAATGTATTTCATTTATAATAACAATAAAACACATTTTACAATAAAAGACATACATAAATTGTATTTTTGGGGAAGGAAAGTTAATATAATTATATTTGACATTTATTCAATCATTTATCAATTTGATGTGTAAGTTTCAGATAAATAATCCGTATAGTTTATCCAAAATGACAGTTTTCAAAAATACATGTTAAGCTGATCGCCGCAGCTCATTCGCAACTTACGTTATGTCGGCGTTACATCTTCTAAAAAAATGCAGCACCAACTAATACCCATCGTTCATGCCTGTGTACCCACTGACTGAAAATGTTCTTATTAAATGAAGTATCAAATGAACGCAACACAGACAATGTCATGGACTGTAAATCATGGAACCTGGTAAACTTGTGTCCCTTTAACTCTGCCTTCAATTTCACTCGCATAAAGTTCTCATTGCAACAAGTTTCGATTGGTCTGCTGCATCTCTTATTATCCTGAAGATCTTCTCTACCCTCATGGAAACGTTTG